TAAGCAATCTAGAGGGCACATCACTAAAGTGCGTGGTAGCCAAGAAGGAAGAAGAACGTGATACTGCAGATAAAGTCTTTGAAATACTGTTGAATCGATTTGGATCAAACATGAAGGGTCACAAGGCAAGGATCAGTTTTGAAAAAAGCAGACAAAGAGATGACGAATCGATTGACCGATTTCTGGATGATCTTGAGAGTTTGAGGAGAAGAAGCGATCCAGAGGAATCGACTAACACGAGAAATTTTAGCATCGCTTCAAACTTTACCGACGAGGTGAAAAGTGACGGCTTGAGAACGATGTTGGCAACATATCATACAATATCGAAAGATAATGCGCCAACCCCAGAGGAGATGAGACAGAAGTCAAGAGAGTATGTGTTAATGAAGCCAACGAAGTACTCGTTTTCGGAAAGCAGAAACATGCAAGAGGAGGCTAACAACAAAGGTAAAAAGTGTATAAGCCCAGAGATGACATGGATAAACAAAGGTCATGTGCGAAATGTGGATCGGCGGATCACCATGTAGCGGATTGCACAACATACAAGCAGGGCATGAAAAGCTTGGGGTATGCGCCTGACGAAGAAGACATGAGTCAAACTGAAGAAAAAGAGTATTACAGTGGATTAATCATCAAATAAGGCGCGAGGTGTTTTTACTGCGCTCAAGAGTGCCACTTCAGGATGGTCTGTCTCCTGTTTTGGGAAGCAGTGAAAAATCAGAGTCACTCAAAACACAAGTTGGCACTAGCTGCGGTGCAAAACATCAGGATATCGACTTGCAGAACAAAGAAGCAGCTAGTGGTGAATTATCAACAAAGACCTGTAAAGGCCGTGACACAAGTCCGAGATGCAGCGGGGACCGAGACAAAAAAAGTAGGAATAAACTATGAGAAAGCAGCTGCTGAGGCTATCAACAGAGTAAAGCAAGACTTAGCAACCAAAGAAATTGAGAAACGGTTAAAACAGGAAATGGAAAGACAAACGACGAACGAGACACTCTAGATAATGAGGCCAGAACCAGAGACCGGAGAGAACCTGGCGTGCAGGAGTAATTGCAACACCATGAAGATGGTGACCGGGAAACCTTTTGGTATCACGAAGATTAGAGCGAGAATTATGTCAATAATCACTGTGGGCGGTCATGAAGTAACGAGGAACCTGAGTGAACCGAGCGACCAAATATTAATGCACATTGACATGTATGCGGATTACTTAAGTACAATAAGCCCGCAAACCCCTTCTAGAGCACTCAGGGCATTACTCCCGAGAGGTGGTGGTAAATCAATCAGGATAGACAGCAGATACACGGAAGCCTATGTCCACATGAGGTCATGTTGAACATAGATGGAATTAACATCTACACAAAGACGATGATAACATGCGACGAAGATCTAGCCGGTAAAATCTATGATGGTCGAGAAGAACTCAATGTGAGATCAATTGGGCACTGCGCCATGCTGGAAGAAGATGCTATGCACCTGGGAACGGAAGCGGACTTATCTGCACATGTACTGGACACAAGCGGGAAGAAGACCCAACTGCGAGGGTTATTGGACACAGGGGCCGTCTTGAGTGTAATACCAATTGAAACATGGAGAAAGATGGGATTTGACAAAGATGACTTGATAGATTCCAGAATACGGCTGTCAGCAGTAAACAAGGGGCGCTGCGGGTTCTAGGCAGAACACCAATAATAGCCCTAAATCTGGGCGAGCGCAGTTTGTGAATGAGCTTACTGTTGGTGGAGAATTTAGATGAAACTGACCAATTCATTTTAGGCAGAGATTTCATCAAGATTTTCGATGTAACAATTAAACTTAACAATGCGATGTTCAGGATTCGAAACCCGGAAAGGAAGTACGTATTAAACCGGTAAATTTGATAATGGCGAATGGAAATAAGGTTCCAGTGTTCCTGAAGGGAAGAGTAAGGTTGAAAGCGAACGAGGCTGCAGTAGTAAATTTGAGGACAAAGAATTATAATGAACTAAGTGAAAATTAAAAAATTTGTATAGTACCGAATCCGATGGAATTGACGATGGACTTTCGAGCTGTTCGAATTTTCTAGAAAGACGCACACCAGAGGAGTTGGAATTAGATAAACAAGTATTACCAGAAACTGAACACTTAAGGGGAAAGGCAACAGACCAACAGCTCGAAGCCATCAAGGACGTTCTAGATAGGAATCAGGATGTTTTTTCGAGACATAAGGCAGACATCGAGTGCTGTAATTTCGTTGAACATGAAAAAGAGCTAGAGGAGCCGGCGTTACCGCATAGTGAGGGGGCGAGGCGTATGACCCCAAACAGCTCTGATGCATGTAGAAAAGAGATAGAGACCCTACCAGAGTATGATATGATAGAACCATCCAAATCAAGTGGGCGTGTGGAGTGGTGATGGCTAAAAAGAAAGGAGACCAACTTAGGTTTTGTTGTGACTTTCAATATCTGAACTCCATCACGGTGAAGGATGCCTATCCCATACCTAGGATAGATGAGAGTCTTTCAAAATTAGAAGATGCAAAATTTTTTACAACTCTTGATCTAGGGTCAGCTTTTTGGCAGGTACCACTAAGGAAACAAGACAGGGACAAATGGCACAAGTGGACAAGTGACGAAGAAATATGGCAATTTGGTAATGTGCTACGTAGATGACGTGGTTATTGCAACAACTACCCTGGAGGACCACATCGAACGACCAGATGAGCTGTTTGCATGCATGTTTGCATGAGAAACAGTACTGACTTGGAAATCGCCAAAAACGGAGCACCAGTTGATGAGTTTTTTTGGGTTTTGCAAATTACTACAGGGAGTTTATCAAGGGCTATGCTGATAAAGTATATCAAATGCAACAACTCATGAGGCACAAGGGCAAGAAAATCACGTGGAATAATGCGGCAGAGGAGTCATTTCAAAGAATAAAGAAAGAACTGTGTGGAGCACCTGTGCTAGGCATGCCAACAGAGAAAGGAATGAACGTACTGGACACGGATGCATAGATGGTAGTGATATCGGGCATACTCCATCAAGAACAGTAGTGGAGCGGGAGCACAGTCTTATGACCAAAATCCTACGGGAGTAAAGTCTTGAGTGACACGGAGATGAAGTACGGGGCACCCAAAGCGGAAATAATCGCGGTTGCCACATTTGTTAAAAAATACAGAATGTATCTGGCTAGCGAACCCTTCAATCTACGGGTCGACAACAGGGCAATGAATCAGAGCAAGATCGGGAGATGGATAGTTCGGTTGGTTGCTTTCAACATGATCATTGAACATAGAACAAGAGACAAGCATCAGAATGCCGACAGCTTGAGCAAGAAGAGGGAGTTTCACGAGGGACAGGAGCAGAGGGAGACTGATAGACCAGCGATCAAATGGCTTTTCGTTCATGGACAAGGAAACGTATGATAGCCTACCGTTCACGAGATGGCTCGACAAATCACGAAAATCGATAGAGGACCATCCCGAATTACCCACTGAGAATGAAGGAAAAGAAATTCTCAAAAGAAATTCAGGGATGCCGATGGAAATAATGCTCAAGTCAAAGATAGTAAGCTGAAAGCAAAAGGCGAAGTGATACAATTTTACGAGTGATATTTTTCTACGATCTGCATTCTTCGAAATTTTTTCCCCACTCATCACTTGTTGAGGAATCTGAGAAAGATTGAGTAAGGAACATTTTTTGAGCTTTTTGCTGAAGGCGAAACAATGAAGGCAAAAGCTACGACCTCGACGAAGTGGAAACAGGAAAGGTGGCGGTAGGAGAGGATGTAAGGGGTCTGCATGAGGAACTAGCTGACGACAAACCCGTAGTCTCGAAAAGAGGAAGTAACACATGGTGGGGACTCGATGAAAACCAGGGAACCAGAGAACATGGAAGTGGTGCGGTCACTAGTTGAGAGAATCTCGGAAGACATACTCAGGCGAAAAACGCTTCGAAGGAAGAGAGTGTCCTTTAATGAGGAAGTTGAACATCTCGGACTACATCAAGAGTCCGGGGGATGGCCAACACCAGAGAGGGATGGTGAAGAGGAAAATTTGTCCGGGGAGTCAAAAGAATGGGACGAAGGTTCAGATAAGAGTGAGGATAAACAAGATAGTCTCTGCAAGATACTAGCTGAAGAAAAAAGGAGGTATCACGACAGGGAATTGCAATTTGATCCTTTGTCAGGGACATACAACTTTGAGTATCATGACGTGAATAGAGGGGAGGAGCTGGAGATGATAGCATTGTCAAGGAAACCTTTTAGGGAACTATCATGCAATTCAAACATGCGGACAAACCTGGAACCAGAGAGCGACAGTGAGGTCTTGAGAAGGATAGTATGCGTTAAGCTTAAGAACGCCATTCAAATCCAGGGAAACTGCATGGACAAATGATGGTACTGAAGGAGCATGTCAAGGCGATGTACCGGCTATCGGATCTGATAGGAGTCCAGAAGAACGACAAAATGACGAGTAATCTCTCCAAATTGATACGGATGGGCGAGAAAGAGAAGGGAGAGCTGGAGGGGGATAGCTACAAAATCTTGAGCCAGTTCTACAAAGAAAGGAGGGACTTAGTCTACCACACAGCTGATGGCATGGTAGCCAGTAGGAGAAAGGACGAAGAGAAGATAATACACAAGCATAACCTCATCATACTACCACAGCTACATCAAACGGAAGTGTGTTCAGATCGCACGACCAGATGGGACATCAGGGAATAGATCAGGTGCAACAAAAATACTACACAGGTTTGACTGGCCAGGGTGAGGAAGGCTTGTGAAAGATGGGTGAACGCTTGTCTGTCGTGTTTGTAGTAGAAAGATCCCAGGAAAATGAAATTCCCTCTCAAATCTGTGGAAAGATCTGCATGACGGACTCGGGGAATAACCAGATACTGGTAATTATTTATCATTTTACGAAGCTGGCAGAAGCGGTACCATGACAGACAATTTCGGCGGAAGAAACTTGTGATCACTTGATAACGCACTGAATATCACGGTATGGCTGTCCGATGACCTTTCAATCGGATAATGGGAAAGCCTTTGTGGGAGACCTGACGAAAGAACTCATGAGAAGATCCCACATTGCACTGGCACATTCGACGACCTACCATCTACAAACGAATAGACTAGTGGAAGAGCAGAACAAAATGCTAGTGAATATGCTCAGGGTAAATTGCTCGAGGTATTTGACAGACTGGAACAAATATCTGCCACAAGTGGTAGGGGCGTATAATAGCACGCAACATTCAACAACTGGGATCAGTCCCTTCATGATGTTAACAGGCAGGAAGAGAGCGATGCCCCTGACTTTCTTCTATCCGGAATATGAAGGGCAAAAGACATCGCCTCACGCCTATGTGAAGGAAGCAGTCAGAAGACAACAGGAATTGAACGAGCTGTGCAGAAAGAATACAGCACAAGCACAGATGAGACAGCGCAGGAAGTATGATGGAAAAATACTTCGGGCGAAATCATATGCCGTGGGACAATATGTCTGGGTGTTCCAGAATGTCACACTTCCAAAAGAGACAAAAAAGCGACTAAAGAAATGGAGAGGACCGTTCATGATAACGGAAGTGCACCAGCAGGGTCGGATCTATCGCTTGAGGACAAGGCGTGCGGCGCACTACGAAAATCTGAAACCTCACGTCCCATCACCGGAAGACTGGTGCGTACCACAGAACATGGAAGGACTCGAGTACCTGCTGGTGGAGCCAGCATGCGAGGTAAATGAGAACGGCACCAGAGAGAAGAATGATGGCAACGAGAACATGAGGACAACGAAAAGATAGAAGCAGACTCGGACGGAGGGTCTTTCGCACAAGAGGATTGGAATGATCCAGAGCAAGATGAGGTGCCGAAGTGGACAGAACCAGATATGACCATGACGACGGAAACGAGAAAAGGCGGGCGCAAGAGGACAGGCATGAGGTACAACAGGTATGGCGATGACTTCTTGATGGACAAGATACGGCTTGAAGACAGCCGATGAGGAGTTGCAGATCATCGACGACAGTGAGCACTACTTGCAGGAGGATTACAACAGGCTAGAGAAAAAAATGGACACAGAACAGAGCGATATAGAAATAAGGGTGAACACAAATCTGGATACACAATCTGGAAGCTGATGAGAAGGAGGCGCGAAGTATCCAACAGGTCGAAATGTCTGCAGCGAAGCATGTAAAGGCGGGGAACCCGTTGTTTGGTTGGACGACGACTGACTAGCCACTGGATATACCACTTGATATCATGACGGGGACGTCGATAAATAATTTTGTCCGGGGAGTGGGGGTAGGACTTACCCACATCGAAAGTTTAATGATAAAGAAGCTCAGGAAAGTGAGAGAGAGTAATCGACTGGAACTAGATCAGGAGGAAGCCGAGCCTGCCATTGGAAGAAATTTCAAGACCAAATTCGAGATACCAAATGAGTATTCGTAAATCATCCTGATCACCGACTTCATCTTGTCAGATAGGACCAGCGCGGTCTGCATAACAGCGACATTAGCTTCAACACTAAAATAGAAGCTGATTTCAAGAAAGAATACCAGAATGTGGAGTTTCTTTTCAGACAGAGATCAGAATTGGAGAGAATGGCTGCGTTTCTATCCTCAGTGTCTCAAGTTCCTGGCAAGTATGCCGGTCTATAATCACGTGATATCGCACGTGATCTTTGCAGAAACGGAAATAATGGTATATCTACACAAGAAATAATACTCGAGCATCGCCTGAGCTTCGGGAGGACACGAGGCTCTCGAGTTAGGGGGCGCGAGGGTCTTGAGCTCGGTATTAAGGGAGGCACGCGTCAGGAAAATAGGTTTTAGTATGATTGCATGACAGTTATATCAGAGTTTTAAATTCAAATGTTATGGTGCTAAAACATAAGATAAAACTGCATGTTTTTAATATTTAATTGAATCATTTTATTTTGAATTAGTTAGGAAAATGATTTAGAGGTAGTAAGGGGGGAGGTTTAGGTTACATACGAGCGAGAAAGATTTTGTTATAAAATAAATTTCATTTTCAGATTGATTTGAATCATCAAAAAACTAAAACGAGATCTGGATTGGAATTGCACGAGTAACGACAGAAAAGAAACTTCAAGCAGATCTTCACAATCTTACTGAAGAAAGGTATCTCTTGAGTGTTAATCTGGGAAGGGTATTTCTCGAGTTTAATTGATGAGGTATTTCTTGAGCAAGGTTCAGAAGTTTATTATTTTTTGAGCAAGAAAAAAAACGGTAATGGCAGATCTTTTCTGGAAGTCTGTGCCAGCGGCATTCAATAAACCCACACTGGACAAGCTCTACAATCGTTTGAGGGACCTTGACTACCCGCAAGTGGATGAGAGGCTCGCGATAATGCTTAATGCCATCCTGCGACTGGAGTCGCAAGGAGAGTGCTGGGAATCAGCGACCGAAGCTGTGTTAATGGTGGGTTACACTTCGGATGGGATCTCGAATCAAGAGCAAATCAGATGGCTATCCTGGATTGTTGACGGATGCGTGAGGGGATTTGAGCTTGCTAGGAACCCCGGCTTGGGTAACATGACGAAGTATGGCGCGGGAGAATTTCCTCTTCCGACCAGACCACTAGCAGGGATATGGACCCAGTCTACCAGCAAGCCATTATCGATGACACGGTCCCAACAAACGGAGGAGGCGATTCGGGATCTCAGCAACCTGAAAAGGGTGCTCGAGAGGGCCCAGAGGGAACGGGACAAAGCCAACCTGGACAGGGACGAAGCGAATCTTGAGCGAGATCAGGCGAACCTCGAGCGGGACCAAGCAATTCTCGAGCAAAAACAAGCGGTTCTCAATCTGAATTTAGTGAGGGCTAAAGGGGACCAAGCCCAGAAATTGCAAGAAAGTGCGGCGAATTGCGAGCAGATAAAATCAGAAATTGAACGACCACAAAGGAGACAGCAAGAGTTCGTAAACAGCAATGAGAGAACGAAGAAGACGATGACTGAACCCGTGGCGACAAGATCGAGACCAGAGTCGAGGATGGAAATGGATGAAGCCCCCAGGTCGAGCGGTCGCTTCCATCTGGGTTGCCTGGCCCAGGAGCATATGAATGAAGGCCTGGAAACATGGACACTATCCGAACCCGTCCCTTCTGTTAGAAATCTGGAGGCAGGTCGAATCAGACCATTAATGGACATTGCGATGCCAGGATTGACGCCCAGTTCGACCAGTGGCAGTCAAACTGGAACGGGGACATCACGCCTCAAGGAGTTGCAGGAGTGGTTGCAGTCAAGAGCTCTCGAGAGTCCAGCGCGTGAGGAGCAGCCGGCCGACAGGAGGTAATATCCAGTGAGGAGTGTCATCATAGCAAATTATAGCAAGAACACCGACGCCGCTTATCACAGGCACAACCGAGAACCGAGAGGATTGGACGGCGGCGCAACGTGAGAGAAGAGATGCCTACCACGATGCAGCTTGAGCTAAGTACTTCACGCAGCCTAGAATACCGGAAGGTGCAGTCCTGACAAGAATCCAGGCGCATTGGCAAGTGGGGATCTTGAGTTTCTCTGGTGCAGCAATGCCCCAGATGTTAGCGTCGCTAGAGATGCTTGAGATGTGGAAAATGTACACGGTCACCTTAATGGTGGGGACCAACGATGTTTCCAGAGCTGAATCAAGGAAGATGATGAGGCTGCAGGACAAAGTGAGTTGCATTCTTGAGGAGCTGAGAATCTATCTGGACCTAGCAATACTCACTATTTGCACCGTCCCATACATTATGATGTACGACCAGAACACTAGTAACATGAATGAAAGAGTACGCCATATCAACGAAATCATTCGGAAAAAATCAACAGAGAAGTGTACTGCCCGTGAGATTGCTTGACGTAGCAAGAATGATGGAGGATTCCCTTCCGGAAAACACATCCTCGGACGGCGCTCACTTCGACAAGCCCAGGGGCCCGAAGTGGCTGAACGGTTTCTTCCAGAAGAACATAAACATTCTTGAGTCGGATCTGGTGGAAACTGGTCAGTTCACATTTGGTCCACCCCCGACCTTCCTTCTTCCCGGCTAGGCCCGTGGGTGATCGCTTGGGAGGAAGGGTCGATTCTAGAGGAAGCTCAAGGAGCAGCAGAAGTAGACAACTGGGTTCAACACCCATGGAGAGAGACGCGGCGGAGTCTTCTACGCCCCAGAGCTCGGTAGTGGTGGTTGACAACAAGAAGAAGGCAGAAGGTCCTGGAGAAGGGAGCAGAGCCCGGTACCTGGAGCGAGTGAAAGATCTGGATCTCGAGGATCTGACCTGTAGACAAGAACTAGTGGAGGTCCTGGGACTCAAGAGTCTGTCACATGAGGACTTGAGCAATCATTATTGTGTGGATTGGCTGAAGGTACACGAGGCGCACTTTTCTCGAGCCAAGATACTGGAGACTGCCGACTGAACGGGGATTCCCAAGAAGTCTATAATGGGGCCAGTCAACTACAGGCCCCTCAAGGAGCCGGGGAGCCCAGGCCTCATAGTAGAGCCTCCGAAGCATCGGACCAGCATAGCCAGAATCAGAGTGGCGATTCCCGCGCAGCTGAGGGCAGTGGCGAAGCTTCTTGAGCGGAAAAGTATGGGGCTTCCTGACACTGCATATACGGGTCCGAAGCTGGCCGAAGACCCAAGGTACGGGAGATCCTATGGAGCCTCGCAGCTGGCCAAGACGTTGGCAGTTTATGATTGATCAGATCCTGGAGCGGCGAGAGCCATCATTATGGCGGGACGGGAGAAGCCGGGTGAGCCAATAAAATCGGAGACGCCATGTGAGCCAGAGCTGTTGTTATTTGCGGGGATGAACGACCACTCACACGCAGCGGGACTACTTGAGCACTTGAGGAGTGGGGAGCCGACGCCAAAGAAGATCTGGGAGGCGATCCAGACGCTGTTTGCAGCAATGAACGAAAAGCTGGTGTTGGTAGCTTCCTGATTGGGATTAAAAACGAAGGTGGTGTTTGCATCATCACCAGCAGGCTACGCAGGCATGCCAACAGCTCTGCACTTCGTGTATGCAATATTGATCCTGATAGCAGAAGACAACCGATGGCGAATGCTAATGGCAACCCCGCCCGAATTGTGAGTTAGAGCCGGTAATTTAGAGGCTTCTGAAGTCACAAGTGGCAGCAGCATGGGTGGATGTGTCCCAAGTCTGAGGGGCTTTTTTGAGCTCGCGCACATCTTGATTGTGTTGAACGAGGTCCTTTGTCTTGAGAAGTCGGATCTTTCCCGGCAGTTGAAATTAAACCCCTAGGTAGGGGATGATCATCCCGTGATAACCCATTTGAAAGAGGAAGGTGGCCGTTCCTAACAACGAGATTGGATAATGTGACGGAAAAGATGAGAGAGAACGCACCGCCTCTGGTTAAGCAGATCTGGGAGTTTCTGGAGGAGCAGCTTGAGATCGCAGAGTGAGAAATGACAGTGGGGAGATTTGTCATGTCAGCCAATACGAAATCAGCCAACCAGGAAGACATACGAAATCTTGAGATTCTTGAGTTCATGCATACTTGAGTTCAAGAATACATGGATAAAGTGTTTTACGCGGGGAATAACATCTTCGGGGCATTGGTGCAGGACCTCTTGAGCATGCCCATCAACCTCCTACTAGCCTTGTATCTGGTATACCCCAGGTAATTATTCAACATGGGTCCGGCATACATGTTAGGCAGAAGTGTGGAGACCCTCAGGATCGACGGATACTTGACATTGGTACTCTTCACGCATGGGAACCTGACAGCGTTTCTTGAAATACACCTGACTTGAAATGCAAAATATCGAAATGTG